TTCCTCCCAGGCCTGTCTTATCCCCTGGCTGGAGAGAGCTGCCCCTTATGCAAATCAGCCAGAGCTCAGGTGCTGCTTGAGGGGCTCTGTGGTCTCCAGTGAAGGATCGGCCAAGGGATTCAAGAGAGTGGGGCTGCACACCCACCTCGGTTCATAGGGTTCTCCCTCACCTCTGTGTCCGGTCTGGACTAACATCCCAGTATATGCTCAGACCTAATTCCTGGGTAGTCACGCAGAACACAGAGGTGATTCTCTGCATTTTCCAGGCAACCTTAGCTCTGCCCATGGGATGATCCTGAGTCTCCATCTGGACATGGGCAGAGTCACAGTGGACAGCAGTGATTGTGGGATTCACTGAAGAGGGAGGTGTTTATTTGGGTCTAGGAACTGACAGGTCCATCCTGTGCTGGCGCAGAGTCCAGATGTTTGGTCTAATGTTGGCTGCACATTCAGAGGACACCTTCTTGGCTCGATGGAGTGACCCTCTTCCTCCTTCTGTACAGGGGGCAGCATGAGGCTTGGACGGGTGCAGGGACCTACCCCAGATCCCAGCCACTGAGGGCTAGAGCCAGGATGAATTCCCTGTGTACCTAGTTGCACATGGAGTGTTGAAAGATTCCTGAGATGATGGAAAGTTCTGCCCTTGGCCGTGAGCTCCTGAACAGGTCAGAGGTCTGTGCCTCAGTCTCCCCAGTGTGGGCTTATGGGCAAGGCCAGACTGGGATAGAGAACTGTGTGCTATTCAGGAGAGTGAGGGCGGGCTGCAGACTGTACCAGAACCTGGTGTGAGTGTCTGTTTAATGAAGTTACCTTGAGGTGCTGGGAAAGCGTATGAAAGAATGAAAACTTCACTTAGTCACCAAAAGGAGACTGAGCAGGGACCTTGGGCCTTACTCTCTGGGAAAACAGGACAGCTGCCCCAAGAGAGCAGAGCAATGCAGAGGGTGAAGGAGCACCCAGGACTAAGGAGCAGACGTGTGGGCAGGACAAGGGTCTCAGAGCACAGGGAGAAGGCAGAGGGACACGTGATAATAGGGGAGAGGAGGGACATGAGTGAGTACAGGTCACACTTAAGACCATAGGGAGGGGAAGGATCAACCATGCCCTCTACCCTTGAGCCCTGCCAGGGCCTTGGGTTACCAGTCACCACCATGGCCACAGTGCCCCCTGGTGCCCACAGGAGGAATGGCACCCTACCTTTGTCCCCACTTCATGCACAATGACCTCTCTGGGCCCTTCCTACAGTCCAGAGTGGTTCTGGATTTTCAGTCGACTTCAGTCTGGATTTTCTCACAGCCCCCAGCAGCCCTGAGTGTAAGGCACCATCTCTCCTCCCGTGTGTACCAGAAAGTAACTACTGTGGCTCCTGCTGGTCTTATTTCGAATTCTATTGAAGTTCATGTGATTTTTAATGGGAGAGACAGGAGGGCAAGCACCTGCAACACGGTCTTCACACCGCAGTCCCCTCATCTCAGCCCCCCTGGGGCACGGACACGCACACTGGCACCCAGCGAGCTCAGAGGGGAATCGGGACCCAAACCCAACCGATGCCCTTTCAATGGGGATCTACTTGAATTCACACAGAACCGGTGCTCACTGCCTTTATTTATTTATTTATTTTTAAATTTATTTGTAAACTGTGTGTCCTTGGGAGACGTGAATGGTTTTCACATTGAAAAGGGTCGATGGACTGTGGCAGCGGCTTCAGTGTCTACCGGGGCGGGCCCGAGACGGCCTGAATCTCACCGAGTCTCTTCTGTGTTTCTGGTCAGAGATGAAGAGACAGAGTGTGTGGACGTGGAGGTGGAGGTGGGGGGCCTGGAGTGCAGCTCACACCCCCAGGTGCGCATCGCAGAACAGCTGGGGCTGCAGCTCCTCTTTCCTGGATTGACCTCAGCCTGGATCTGACCACTGGCTCTCTGAGAACTGGGAGCTCCTAGGATTTGAGGCTCATGATTCATTCCAAGAAATGCAGGGAACCAAGAAATCTTCTGGGACACGTGGTGCTTACACTGGGAATTTAGGAGGGAAGCAGAGCTCTCAGGGCCACAGTGCCCCCACAGACCCTGATGTCCAATGTGGGGATATCAGGCCCCCAGATGGCTTCCCTGACGCGACTCTCCATGGAGACCTGCAGGCTTAGACAGCTTAGAAGGAGGGAGGAGGCAGCCCAGGGCAGGAGAGGTTGCTGACATGAGGGAGGGTGCAATGGAGGGACTCTGGCTTCCCTCCAGGGAACTCTGGAACTGGGGGACTTCCAGGTGTCCCTAAGGTGAGGCAGGGTCTGGGAGCTGGAGCTCAGGCTGTCATCAAACCAGAACTCTCTGGGTAGAGGCATGAACTGGAGGAAGGGGCCCAGCTCTGAGAGACTGACAGCTCCCAGCAGAGGAGGTGGGTCAGCCCTGAAGTGGGGCCGGGCAGATCCCACAGGGCCCACGTCACAGGCTTGCTCTGTGAGAATCCCATCATGCCAAGGTGCTGCTCTGTCAGGACTTCAGCCAGCTGGACAGGGCTAGGTGTTAGTCCTGGATATTTGGACCAAAGAGAGGCCCAGTGACCTCCACAGAAACCCGGGTCAATAAGTGAAGGACAGCTGTGTCCTCATGTCTTTCATCGAACTCAAGCTGCTTCTCTGAAATAACGGACCCTAATCCCCAGGGCAGTCTGGTCCTGCAGGCCCAAGTGCACTCCCCACACTCCCTCTGCAGATCCCACCTGGAGGGCTGGGAGGAGAGGACAGCATGGGGGGCTCAGCTCCAGGTGACATGGGCCAGCCCTGCTATGTCCCCAATCCTCCCGGGTCTACTGGGAATTTGTGACCCAGACAGAGAAGGGGGTTTTTGTCTCACTTCCCCATCTGCCTGTGTCACTGTGTGATAGCTGTACCCTGATTGACAGTAATAGTCGGCCTCGTCCTCAGCCTGGGCCCCAGTGATGGTCAGGTTGGCCGTTACACCAGAGCGGGAGCCCGAGAATCAGTCAGGGACCCCTGAGGCCTTACTCCAGTCACCATAAATGAGTGGTGCAGGGCTCTGGCCTGGCTTCTGCTGGTACCATTGAGCGTACCTGCTTCCTAAGTCTCCTCCCTGGCAGGTGAGGCTGACTGTCTCTCCAAGGGCCACAGACACCGTAGATGGCTGAGTCAACGCAGAGGAGGCCACAGAGCCTGCAAGAGAGGACAGGAGAGGTGAGCCTGAGGCTGAGGGTCTCCTTCCCAGAGGTCCCCACACCCTGCGGCACCCCCTGTGCTGAGCTGAAGGTCAGGCCAGGCTGGTCCCTGGTTGTGTGGGGCTGAGCCCTGGGGGCAGCACCTGTGCAGAGAGTGAGGAGGGGGAGCAGGAGAGGGGTCCAGGCCATGGTGGAGGTGCCCTGAGCTCTCCTCTGAGCCCACAGCACAAATGGGCTCCCCAGACTCCTCTTATTCCCTCAGGTTCTGGGGGCCATGGCTGTTTGGTGTTTATGCAAATTGGTTCCTCTTAGGGCTCCTCACTCAGGGCTAAGGAGTGTCAATCTACCCAGCTGTGGGCCTCACTCAGACTCTAAAAGCCCACAGCACAAATGGGCTCCCCAGACTCCTCTTATTCCCTCAGGTTCTGGGGGCCATGGCTGTTTGGTGTTTATGCAAATTGGTTCCTCTTAGGGCTCCTCACTCAGGGCTAAGGAGTGTCAATCTACCCAGCTGTGGGCCTCACTCAGACTCTAAAAGGGTATAGAGCCCCCCTAGTTTGTTCTGAGCTTCTTTTCTGGCCAAAACAATGGCCTTGACTTCAGAGAACCAACTACAATGACATCCTGACCACGTAGTCACTGTCCCCAGTGCTTTTCCCTGTGATCTGTCCTGGGTCTTATGGGACTGTTGACCTTCTTGGAGCCTGGCCGTGGGCAGAGGTGACCCTGGTGAGAGGCCATCGGTGTCATCTGTCCTACAAGGAGACCTGGGGGCCCTCACCTCCCCCCTCACCTCCTCTCTGGTCTCCCACATGCACTTTGGTGTTATCCTGGTCCCTTCATCTACCGTTTCCATCATTAGGATCCTTAGCCCTCATTCAGAATGGCAGTGAGCTCACCCAGACCAGCACTAGAGTGTGGATTCCCCCAACTTCCGCTTCACTGACGGTGGGACCCGCGCTGACACCCACAGCAGCCTTGCACGTGGCATTCCCACACCCGGATCCCTTTCTCCCTCCCTGAGGTGTGCGACCTTACTACAGAGGCCAGGACCCCAAACGTGGCTGAGAGACCAGTTTCTGTCCCTGAGGTTTCCGGGAAGCAGCCTCTGTCCGGAGGTGAATTCTGCAGGGAGGTCACTGGTCCTCCCAGCCAGGGGTTCCTGTCACAGAATCAGTGAGAGCCCAGTGGTCAGAGGTGTGGCCCGAGGCAGGTTGGAGTCAGTCCCCTCTGGGGAGCGTGTTCTGAAAGTGCTCACATGCTCCATCCAGGAACTAGGTCCCAATGCCCCGCATCACGATGGGGGTGCACACTCACCTCAGATTTCCCGGTTCCCCTCATCTCTGTGCCAAGTCTGGGCCTGCATATCCCAGCCTGTTCTCAGACCTCACTCCAGGGTGGCCACGCAGAACACAGAGGTGACTCTCTCAGCATATTCCAGGCAGCCGGAGCTCTGCCCTTGGGGTGACCCTGGGTGTCCTTCCAGACATGGGCAGAGACACACTGGGCAGCGGTGACTGTGGGACTCGGTCAGGAGGGAGGTGCTGATTTGGGGCCAGGAGCCGAGAGGTCCGTCCTGTGCTGTGACAGAGTGTCGATGTCGGGTCTAGTGCCGGCTCCATATTTAGGGCACCTTTCAGGTCCAATGCAGTGGCCCTCCACCCTCTGCACAGGGGAAAGCACGAGGCTTGAACAGGAGCAGGGACCTCCCCCAGATCTCAGCCACGGAGGGCTAGCGCTAGGATGAAGTCCCTTCATATCCATGAACACTTGGTGTGTTGAAAGATTCCTGAGATGCTGGAAGGTTCCGCCGTTGGTCGTGAGCTCCTGGACAGGTCACAGGTCTGTGCCTCAGTCTCCCCAGTGTGGGCAAGGGCCAAGGACAGCCTCGGTATGGAGACCTATGTGCTGTGCAGGAGAGTGAGGGCAGGTGCAGACTGTACCAGGAGCTCCTGTGAGGGTTTATTTTACTTAAGTTGCCTTGAGGCGGAGGTGCTGGGACAGTGTGCGAAGGAATGAAAATGTTCTAAGTCACCAGAGGAGACAGAGCAGTGACAGTTGCTGGGAAACCAGGACGGGGAAACTGGACAGCTGCTCCAAGGGACACCAGCAAATCCCAGGGACACAGGACAGTGGAGCAGCGTCCAGGGACTCAGAGCAGCCCTGGGGGCAGGACAAGGGTCTCAGATCACAGGGGAGGTGGAGGGACACATGTGAGCACACAGCTGGGTAGGGACACGTATGACTACAAGGGAGGAAAGGAACACGTGTGACCACAGTGGGGAAGGGAGGCCTCCCAAGCAGCATCAGTCATGCCCTCTGCCCTTGAGCCCCCCTGGGCCTTGGGTTACCAGTCACCACCATGGCCACAGTGCCCTCTGGTGCCCACAGTAGGAATGGCGCCCTGCCCTTGTCCCCACTTCATGCACAATGACTTCTTTGGGCACTTCCTACAGTCCAGAGTGGTTGGAGTTATACACACCCGACTTCAGTCTGCATTTTCCCACAGCCCCCAGCAGCCCTGAGGGTAAGGCACCATCTCTCCTCTGTCTATACTAGAAAGCCGCCACTCTGGCACCTGCTGGTCTCTTATTGAGAATTCTTAAGAAGTTTATGCGTTTTTTGGGGGGGAGAGACAGGAGGGCGAGCACCTCCAACAAGATCTTCACACCACAGTCCCCTCATCTCAGCCCCCCTGGGGCATGGACACGCACACTGGCACCCAGCGTGTTCAGGGAGGAACTGGGACCCAAAGTCAGGCCCCTTCCAATAGAGACGCAGTTGCATTCTTACAGGAACTCTGCTTACAGCTTCTTTTTTCTTTTTGAAAATTTTTTTGTAAACTGTGTGGCCTTGGAGACGTGAATGGTTTTCACATTGAAAAGGGTAGATGTACTGTGGTGGGGTCTCAGTGTCTACTGTGACAGCCTGAATCTCACTGAATCTCTTTTATCTGTTTCTGATCAGGAATAAAGACACAGAGAGTGTGGACTTGGCGGTGGAGGAGGAGGTGGGAGGCGTGGAGTGCAGCTCACACCCCCAGGTGCGGGTCACGGAGCAGCTGGGGCAGCCGCTCCTCTTTCTTGGGACTGATCTCAGCCTGGATCTGCCCTTCGGCTCTCTGAGAACTGGGAGCTCCTAGGATTTGAGGCTCATTATTAATTCAATAAAATGCAGGGAACCAACAAATCTTCTGGGACACGTGGTGTTCACACTGGGAATTTAGGAGGGAAGCAGAGCTCTCAGGTACACAGCGGCCCTCACAGGCCCTGATGCACATGGTGGGGACAGCTGGCCCCCAGATGGCTTTCCTGGCGCCGACTCTCCATGGAGACCTGCAGGCTCGGGCCAGCTTGGAAGAAGAGATGAGGCCGCCCAGGGCAGGAGGGGTTGCTGACATGAGGGAGGGTGCAGGGGAGGGACTTTGGCTTCCCTCCAGGGAACTCTGGAGCTGGGGGACTTCCAAGTGTCCCTAAGTTGAGGCAGGGTCTGGGACCTGGACCTATGGCTGTCATCAAACCAGACCTCTCTGGGAAGAGGCATGAACTGGAGGAAGGGGCCCAGCTCTGAGGGACTGACAGCTCCCAGCAGAGGAGGTGGTTCAGCCCTGAAGTGGGGCCGGGCAGATCCCACAGGGCCCAGGGCACAGGTTTGCTCTGTGAGAATCCCATCATGCCAAGGTGCTGCTCTGTCAGGACTTCAGTCAGCTGGACAGGGCTAGGTATTAGTCCTGGATATTTGGACCAATGAGAGGCCCAGTGATCCCCACAGAAACTCGGGTCAATAAGTGGAGAGATGTGTCCTCATGTCTTGTCCTTACACTCAAGTTATTTCTCTGCATCTCAGATAACAGACCCTAATCCCAGGGCAGTCTGGTCCTGCAGCCCTGAGTGCACTCCCCACACTCCCTCTGCAGATCCCACCTGGAGGGCTGGGAGGAGAGGACAGCATGGGGGGCTCAGCTCCAGGTGACATGGGCCAGCCCTGCTATGTCCCCCGTCCGCCTGGGTCTGCAGGGAGAGTGGGACCCACACAGGGAAGGGGGTTTGTGTCTCACTTCCCCATCTGCCTGTGTCACTGTGGTTGTGTAATCACTTCTGTCCATGGACTGACAGTAATAGTCAGCCTCGTCCTCAGCCTGGGCCCCAGTGATGGTCAGGGTGGCCGTTCCACCAGAGCGGGAGCCGGAGAATCGCTCAGGGACCCCTGAGGCCCGGAAATCAATATAATCCATGAGCAGTGTCGGGTGCTGGGCTGGCTTCTGCTGGTACCAGTAAACACCAAAGATTTCTAATTCTCCTCCCTGGCAGGTGATGCTGACTGTCTGTCCCAGGGCCACAGACAACGCAGGTGGTTGAGTCAAAACAAAGGAGGCCACAGATCCTGCAAGAGAGGGCAGGAGAGGTGAGCCTGAGGCTGAGGGTCTCCTTCCCAGAGGGCCCACCCCCTGCAGCACCCCCTGTGCTGAGCTGAAGGTCAGGCCAGGCTGGTCCCTGGTTGTGTGGGGCTAAGCCCTAGGGGCAGCACCTGAGCAGAGAGTGAGGAGGGGGAGCAGGAAAGGGGTCCAGGCCATGGTGGAGACACCCCAGATCTCTGCTTCTGAGCCCACAGCTGGGAGGGCCCCCAGGCCTCTCTTATCCTGAGGGAGGGGGGCTCCTCATGCAAATGTCCTCTTTCCTTCTGTGGCTGGGGGTGGCTCTCTGCTGAGCCGAGAAGGGTGGGGTTTCCAGGAGGTTGTCCCCTAGGCCTGTCTCCAAGGACTGTGCCTAGGACCTCAGAGTCTCTGCTGTGGATAAGGAAATTTTGGCCTCCCCCCCAACACACAGACTCACACACACATCAGGAGAGACCCTGGGCTCCTTCCCTGGGCTGAGTAAGACCCCTCATTCCCCTCTGTCTGGCTGTTACTGTCCCTGGGGTGAGCTGGCAGAGATTTGGCAAGATCTGATGGGCTCAGGGGTCATGCTGAAGGAAAGGAGAACCGAATTCCACAGTTCGCAGGGATTCAGAGGAAATGCCCACAGGCCTAGGAGTAGATTTCATTATTTTAGGGAAGAAATAAATATCATATTTTTACCTAGAATGTGGCAAAGATTTTCAGTACTGACACCAAGGCTTCAGGTCATAAAAGGAAAACCTGAGAACTTAGTCTTGTTCAAAGTATAATCTTATAAACCTTACTAATGTTTAGGACTGGGTCTCCCCGTGTTGTATACCTCATACGTCGGCCTCCCCCTCAGAGCGGACATGAGGTCCAGACTTGCTTTTCAGACAGGGCCTCACTATGCTGCCCAGGCCAGGCTGGAGCTGGGGACACCCCTCCTCAGTTCCTGACACACTGGGGTTTCTCCGACGCACCAACATGCCCGGCTGGAGCCTGGACTAGAATCGAACCTTCTCCACACACGCGGGCCGGCCCACAGAGCACAGCGTCTCAGCGGTGTGTCCCTCTGGGGCTGGGCATTGTGATTTTATTTCTAAAAATAGTGTATACTGAAGTTGAGTAATAGTTCATTAAACAAAGTGAGATGCTCTGGAGAAGTCATTACTACATCCTCATACTCTTGCTTAATTTTTTATTATTTGTGGGTTTTTGTTTTTGATTTTTTTCTTGTTGTTGTTGCTGAAAATTTTCCTCCTAGCAAGTTTCTAAGTGAAATGCCAAATAACTACAGCCTCATGCTGTGTGCGGTGAGGTCTCTGCACTCACTCCTGACGTCAGAGGAAGGGCCAGGTGGTGTCAGTGGAGAGTGGATTCACCCACAGAAGGGCCTCAGGGGAACCTCAGTCATGCCCTCTGCTCTGAGCTCCTCCAGGGCACTGGGGTATCAGGGTCCCCAGAACTAGGCCCACAGTGCCCCCTGGTGTCCACAGGACTCACGTCACCTACATGTGTCCCTATGTCCTGCACCAGGACTGCTTTAGTCCTGCCCACACAATCTGGGTAGTTTGCTGAGTGTTTTACAGGAACTGCCTCAGCCAGACCTTCCCAGTAACCCAGCAGCCCTGAGCTTCAGGCACCGTCTCTCCTCCCATCTATGTCCAGGGAACACCATGGGAGTTGACATGACTTCCCCACAGTCCCAGACAGCAGTGGGAGGAGCCCAGAGCTGCCCTCAGCCTCCCTGCCCTGTCTGCTACTCCCACCCCTTCCTCTTCCGTTCCCCAGGCCTCCTGGGTCCTCTTGTCACCACCTCTCTGCTGTGCCCAGGTGCTCTGGGCTGTGTGGGTAGAGGTGGGGACCATCCCTCTGTTCCCTCTAGGGCTGGTGACAAAGGGGTAGGTGTCAGGGGGACACGGGGGACCACAAAGGCCTGGTCGAGCTCCTCCTGTAAGTTGGTGTCCTGACCGGGTATTTTTAGATTCCTTTTCTGTCAAAGTGAGGGTTAATAATAATGAAAGATAAATGCAAATGAACTATAAATGTGTTAGTGTGGACACACACACGTGCCCGTCTGTCTTACACTGTCCGCAGAGTCCAGGGTGTGCCGACCTGCCTCCTCTCCATTTTCATTCACCTCAAAGTACGTCCCAGTTTCCTTTGATTTTCTTCACTGTCTCCCTTGGTATTTAGGAGTGTGCTTTCGAACTGTTCCTATTTGTGATTTCTAGGGAATTGTTTCTGTTACTGAATCCTAATCCCTTTCTCTGCTGTTTGGATCACATACACTGTGTTATTTCTGTGTTTCAAATGCACAGATTCCTTATTCTTTTCTTTAGAGGTTTTTGGTATAGAGCGTATACGCTTGCCAGAAAGACACAGAGAGACAGACAGAAAGTGAGACATCACCTCCCAGGGTGGTGTTGTGGCCATTCGTGCCACTATCCCTTCTCCTCCATCCTCCTCTCAGGATCTTGGGCGTGCACACATGTACACGGACCCGGCGTGAGTTTAAGCTACCGGGCCGGGACTCAAACCGCTGTCAGCTCCATGTGGGAGTCCAGCGCCCCCATTACACCAACGGGTGGTCCTATGCACTGATTGCTTCTCACGCCTGCAGTAAGATCCTCCCTGGAGGAGGTTCCAGGTAGAGGATGCGGTTTCTGCTGTGGTGGACGGACTCTCCCAGGTTGAGACCAAAGATTAGGGGAGGTCGTCACCTCCCAATGCTGGTCTCAAGGGAGGGGTCCTGCGACCTGTTCTGTGAGCTGTCCCCTCTGCAGCAAGGCTGCAGGACACAGGTCAGGATTCTTTTTTGTTCTGTGGTTTTTCAACATAATTATTTCCGTTTCTGTCCATAAACTCTGATACTTAAAATTAGAGCCACGCAGAGACATATTCACCGGTCCATGTGCCAGAAAATGTCTCCAAAGGGACTGTTTCCTTCAATATCTGCACATTGAAAAATCACTAATACAGGGACCAGCTCAGGGCATAATGGTTATGTCACTGGACTCTTATGTTGTTGACCACAGTTCAAGTCCTGGGCCTGGTTGCTTAAAACATGGTGGGCGCATGTGCATTTGTGCCGAAAATCTCGAGAGGAGAATGGAAGGGCAGATCGATCCCCCAGGGAGGTGATTTCTCACTTCATCTCTGTCTCCCGTCTATCTGGCTAATGCACATGCTGTATACCAAAAATCTCTCTCTCTAAGAAACAAAAAAAATCCCTAATACAGATGGCACACATGTTCGTAGATAACAGGTTCATACACTCCAGGAGGTAGGGCCTCGGGTGGGAGAAACATGGGAGAGCATCCCGACCTGGCTCACTTCTAGCCCATGTGCTCCAGGATCCCGAGGGGAACACAGACGTGCAGGGGTGAGCAGCAGAGAGCAGGCCTGGAAACTCCACCTTCAGAAAGACAGGGGCCTGCTGCCTCCCATTTGTCCAGAGACCTTGTCCTCTTATGTCCATGAGTCTGCTGGGCCGTCCTCAGCCCCGTACACCCCTCTGTGCAGATCAGGCCTCAGCAGCGATGAGGATCCTTCCTCCCCAAAGTCTCAGTCTGGAACAGACACCACGGTGACCACAGGCCTCCCGCACATGGCGCTCCAGGTCACCAGCACGGCAAGAGCACAGTCCTGTTGTGCACAGAGCTGAGAACCTCATTGCACAACCTGTGGGCGAACTGTGCTCAAGATGGTCCCACTGTGTGCAGGGAATGTTGTCCTAACCAAAAAACATTCTGCAAAAATTTCCCCAATCTGCAAGCTCCAAGTAAACTCCCGCATGAGAAATGCTGGCTCCAGTCAGCTCCGCTCAAATATGAGTGTGAGAATCTGTGACCCTCGTTTTTTGCAACATTTAGCAGCTCCACCTTGCAAGATCTGTTCAACTGTTGTAGGAACAGACAGCTAAACTGAATATGTGGCCCCGATGGAGTCCCAAGTCATGCAGAAGAAGAGAGCTGTCCTGGAGGGCCCTCTCCTGACGAGAGCCTCTTCTCCTTGGGGTTAGTGCCCTGGGGTGAGTCTCCTCTGGTTCCTGGACAAAGAGCCCCCACATTGTAAGGAGCCCCTGCATAGCAGTCTGCCTGACACCTGCTGAGGACAGCTGATCCTGTCCCAACTGCCCAGGGCCCTTCTTGGCCTGAAGTTTCTGAAGAAATTGTGGATGCTGCCCTAGATCTCCTCTCAATTTTCTTCTGATCACAAACCTCTCATTTTGTCCCCAAGGTCCAAATTGAACCAAGTCACCACTTTAGGCATACAAGTGTCTGTTGGGGGTGATGACAAAGCTCTGGAGTTGGCCAGAGGGGACAATATTTACAATGTACCTATGACTGCTGGACTGGACACTGAAAATGACTAAACGGTCAAAAGTTCCATTATGTTCATTTTTATCTTAATAAGAATATTTCATAGTTTGGGGAAAAGTAAAAGAAGTGTAATTTATAGAATTCACAGAGGAAATATAGAGCAGCGGAGTCAGTACTGTCCGACTCTGAAGTTAAAGAATAAGCTTAATCAGGAAATCAGGACAATGTAGTTAAATGATGCTTTATTTAATGCGATATGTCTGAGATAGTGTGGGTCCCGCATGCAATTATAGAGAATTGCGTATGTTTTACATATATTTTCATGGTTCTCGAATGTTAGATTTTCGTTCAAAGGTTTCAGTTTTTTTATGTGAAAGAGAAAGAGTGAGAGAGAGAGGTGGGCATCCCCACAGGGTCTTCATCGCACAGTGAGCTCCAGTCTCAGCACACGGGCACCCAGTGTACTCGCACGGGTCCTGGGAACTGAACACAGAACCTTCCCTAGGTGAGTCCATTCGTGCTGCCAACCCCAGCAGCTTGCCCCGCTCTCTTTCTCTCCCTTTTTCTTTATTCTTAATTTGGAGATTATGTGGAGGGGAATGTGAATGAGTTCCATGCTGACAAGGGTGAACTGCAATGGCCCCTTCATCGTCCGCCATGACAGGCTGAGCTGAAACTCAGAGTCATTTAATGTGAACCTCTGCCCAGGGGTGAGGAGAGAGTGTGTACAGGTGTGGAGGTGGAGGAGGACGCTGTGCGTGACCAGCTCAATCCCCTCAGGTGAGTGTCTGTGGCTCACGGTGCAGCTGGGGCAGCGACTCCTCTGTCCTGGGATTGGCCTTCAGCCTGGAGATCTCGGCTCTCTCAGTACCCAGAGCTCTTGGATGTGAGGG